GCCTAAATAGGTGGAAATTGCGCAAGGCTAACTGAGAAGGGGAGGACTGTCATGCATGAGCCATGAGAGTTAACTCTTTCTGGGCTTGGTCTCTGCTCTTGCTTTGTTGGGTAGAAATCCTCAGCGGCATTTTGCCCTTGTATTGAGGAAGCTGAGCTGTGGGTTTGTGCGTGGTTTTCTCCCTCCCTGCTTTGGGTTCCTCAGCCTTAGACTGAGCAAGCCATGTCCCACTGGCTTTGGGCCTCTCTTTTCCTTCCCATAATGTGGGGTGCAGCCAACCCAGTTTTATTTCCTAGAGGTAGCATTGCTCTTTGGTGAACAGTTGCTTGGCTCCTGAAATATTGTTGAAGGCTCTACTTTATGGTTGATACCTGAGGTGGGAACTTGGCAGATGTGCATTCAGCTTCTGAGTTGGTCGCAGATACCTCCTGCTTTGTGATCCTCGGATATCCTTCAGAGGGTTTACCAGGTCTACCTTGTAGCTTCAGCGTGTGGCTATAATGTGAGAATAAGTAAAGCCTTCAGAGATGAGGTTTCCTTGTTGATGTGACAGCTTGTTGTAGGTGGTTGTCTCCACGTGTACATAAAGTATGGAGAGGGTGATTTTACAGAAGTCTGCTCTAGCTATTAAGTATTGTTTGCTTCTGATTTTTATGTGGAGACTGTTTTCGCCATTAGCCCAGCTGCTCTACACGTTGATGTGGGAAGATAAAATATAAGTCTGCTTGTATTTGCATTATTGAATACTCCCAGTGTCACAAAAACTCTGTAATGAAAGGAAACCATTCAAATCTGTAAAGAGTGATCCTTGAGAAACCTGCAGTACGCTTAGTTTGATCCTTTGTTCTTTAATCTTCCAATATAGAGCTGAGGTCTACAGCACGTTGAGTTCTTCTCAGACGTTTTGCTGTTTGTTCAGACTCGGTGCAAACCCTTGAGTTGCTATATCAATAATTCTCTGCTCTAAACCTACTCTCCGTGAGCAGAAAGGGGAATGGATGTGGATTGGTTTTGCTCTCAGACAGATCATGAAAATGTCATTGCGTGCCGGTCTGCTATAGCTATCTGAAGATTGAAATACCCTCGAGGGAATGAAATGATGGCTTATTTCTTGCTGGTTTGCTCACTTTTTTTCTTCCTTGGCAAATACAGGCAAAAAAAAAAAAAAACATGACAAAGGAGCTGGAGTCACTAAAACAGAGTCCGAAGTCAGAGCAGGATTTCTTTTTGTGTGTACGTCAGCATCTCTGGGGGAAGACAGATGTGTCGTGGGACCTCTGTACTGGAGCCTGCAGTGCCTGAGGTATCATGCTGGCTCTGACAGTGGGTTTTTTTTCAAGTCCAAGAGCAAGCTATTCAAGTTTGCACCTTATCTTTCACTTCTGTGAAATGACCAGCAAGGACAACCCAGTCCAATCCATTAGTGGAAAAGACATGCCCAAACACAGAGCCTGGAAGTAGGAAACGCAGGCGTCGCGCGTCCTAGACTGGGTCACGGGTACCGCACTCGCTCAGGGCACCCCAGGGACTCCAGCATCCCCACCCCTGCAGTGGTCAGAGCTCTGTTGGAAACAGATGTAGCAACTTGTTTTTATTTCCTAAGCTGCTGAACTAATTGCGGAAATAACAGACAAATCATGAGGTACCGAACAGCATTCCCAAGCTTTCCTTTTTTTCAAGAGTTTTTATTTTCTGCAACTTTGTGAATTCTCTCTCCTCTTCACCGACTCTTGTCGGTGAAGCTGCTTGTTGCTCTGATATCATAAATCCCTGTAAGGGTTTCTCAAATCCATCCAGGGTTTTTGAACATTAAAATATACCCTCTGGCTTGGAAAGTCTGTGAGATACAGATGCTCGGAAGCTGCAGGAATACAGCAGGGAAGAATTGCTGCATCTTGGCCTGTTCAGATGCTCTTCCCTTAGCATCTGTTGTTGGCGGCTGTTGGAAACAGGCTGGATGGCTTTGTTGTTGTGCAACACAGCTCCTGCTAGGCTGGTGGAGTGGGAAGGAGGAAAAAACCCAAACGTGCTCGATCAGAATGCGAGTGCTTTAGTGCTAGAGGTTTATCTGATGTTCCCTGCTGCAGGAGGGGTCTTCACGTGGAGGTGAGAGTTGGGGCCTCAGGATGCGACGTCCTGTCCCTCTGGTCTTTGGGGAAGCGGTTTGCTTTCTCTGCGCCTTATTTCTCAATCTGCAAAAGGAGGCTGAGAATCATTGCTTTCTCCCATCCTTTGAGCGCTCTGTTTGCCTTGGAGGCTTTTCAGATTTGTCACCACCTTCCATCTCTGCGAAGACCCCTGATGGTGCAGTAGTGAGAATAGTGATGTATTAACGATGACTAATAGCTGCAACGTGGGAATAATGATTCCGCTGCTTTGCGGCGGAAGCATCAGGCAGATGTTTAACATCTGGAATGGCACTCTGCATGATTCAAATGGGGCTAGCAACTGCTGTCGTGCAGCTCCCTCACAAAACACAGGCATCTTGAACATGGTTCCTGAATGGGAAATCACACTTTGTTCCGAACGCTCCTCCCTTCCGTCGTGCCGAGGACCGGCTGCGGCCTCCAGCCTGCCTAAATTCAAGCAAAATGGAAGTGGCTGTCAAGTGAAAACCGCGGGTGGATTTTAGCACGTTGCTGATACCAGGTCTAGCCAGGGAAAATGTTCCATTTCAGTTACTTGAATATGCAGTAGGGCCGATACTGACGTAACGACGTGTAGCAAACTTACATAGGGCTTTACATAGGGTGGATATATCCTACAGTCACAGATGGAAAAACTCACTTAGGCTGTCTCACCCACTTTCTCACCTGTCAGTGCAAATTTCCTCCTTAGTTACTATCTTTTCATGTGCTTTTCCAGTGCAATTTTAAGCTTTGGCTTTCTGTCCTTTGGGTTAATCCTTTTAATAGGCTTTTATTAAAAACACTTTTAGATCTTCAGCAGTCAAAGCTATTTCCAAATAGATTTCAGGCTTTGATTACGTCTTTCCTGGTGAAGAAACTACTAAGGTGAGGTAGAGGGAGCAGAGAAACAAGGTGCTCTCTCGGGCAGCACTGGCCTGTAGCTCCAGGTAAACATGCTTTCTCCATCAAGGGAAGAGCTGGAAACATTTCATAAACTGCACCGGGGAAAAGTGAGTTGCAGGCTTTGGAAACCAGCCTGGGGAAGCCGTCGGTGCACAGAGGCTCTGCTACTTTCCTGACAGCACGTAGTCAAAAGCTATGCGATATTTCAAGAGAATCTGCCAAATCTGGGAGAAACTCTTTGTATTGCAAATGAACTTCCCAGACTAGACAAGCGATGTACAAGTTCGCTCTTGCATCAGACCCTTTGAACACCTTAAAATGTCTCAGATGTAACAACAGATGGATATTGTTGTGCTTTTTTTTTTTTTTCTTCTTGAGGGCTACAAGAGCTTTCAAAACCTAAGCCGAAACTGAATCGTGTATGAGTCGCAGTGTCCTACTGGGTAAATCGCAAGGTCCTCTTTTCCAGGGTCGCTGGGGGTGTCTCAAGGATGCTCCAGCGGAGTTGCTGGAGGGACTGAAATCCTGCAGCTGAAGGCGAAAGGAGGAATCAGTGATCTGGTTTGCTGTAAAACTGGGTGTAAATGTAGACAATAAAAAAAAAAAGGGGGGGGGGCGGGAGAAGAGAAGAGAAGAAAAGGGGGGGGAAGCCTTAAATGACTTGCCCAAGGTGATGCGGGCAGAGCTGTGGATGAGGAGGAGATGCCTGTCCCTTTCCCTGCCCCAGGCTTTTTCTCTGCAGTTGGTTTCCATTTGCCCAGGGCCTGTTAGTTGCATCAGTGTCGGTGAAGCATCTGGAGAACGGATGCACCACGTGTAGTTTGCAGGACTCTGCATGTCCTACGGTGATCTCCCCAACTTCAGTACCTCTGTGTGCCGCTGATCGGTAAGGGGAGGCCCGTGTCTCTTTAAAGCTCTGGGCATTTTTCTTTTCCGAGTGATTGAATTTGAGCGAGGGGAGGGGAGGATTCCTCAGTTCTGATGTAACTGTCAGCAGAACCACGTGGTTTTATACATTTTTGACAAGAAAAGGTCTCCTGGAAGCAAGTTATACAATTTTCAGTAGCTCTTTTGTAATTGCTTGCCACAGCAGCTATTTTCCAGTCAGCCTTTACTTTTGGGCTTGGGTCCCTGCAAGGTTTGTTTGTGCAGTGTCCTCACGTAGGCTCCAAATGTGAAATCCATTCAACCTTCATGACTCATTCACTGTCCCAAGTAACGCTTCAGCTGGAGGAGGAACCCGGCTTGGGGAAGCAGCGGAATGCCGCTGTCAGCACATCGGGATCCCAGCTTTCACAGCGCCTGCCCGGGCCAGGTGGGGAAGGAATGACCAGTGGCTCGACGAGAGCCCCAGCGTCCTTCCCTGCCAGGGCTCCCGCTTCTCTGCACCCTGCCAGCATTGAGGTGGCCCTAGCAAAGCTGAGCTCGGTTCACTTCCATAGTAGCTGAAACTAAATTAGAATCATAGAATCATTAAGGTTGGAAAAGACCTTTAAGATCATCGAGTCCAACCGTTAACCTATCACTGCCAAGCCCACCACTAAACCATGTCCTCGAGCACCACATCTACCCATCTTTTAAATACCTCCAGGGACGGAGACTCAACCACTGCCCTGGGCAGCCTGTTCCAATGCCTGACAGCCCTTTTGAATTTAAGGTCACTGTGCTTCTGAAACAAACATTTAATGCATTTAAGTAACAAAGGAGATTAGTTACGTAGCTATTTGTAATAATATAATGCTTTTTTTAAATGAGAAGAAGCATTCTCTTTCACAGGATGGAGGATGGATTTGCACAAAATGGAAAGGTTTGCTTCCCTGTTGTGTCTTTTCCTAAACAGCTCTTCCTTTCTGCCTCCCTCTGTTCAGCCATAACCCTGAACAGAACTGGTTTTTGTTCCCCACCTCGAAGCTACACAACCAGTTTCCTTGCAAGCCAGCATCATTCATGTTTCTTTTATCCTTACAGAACATGAACATCCAGGTGGAGGACATAAGGATCCGTGCCATCCTCGCCACCTACCGCAAGCGGGTCCCTGTCACGGAGGGTTACGTGGAGGTGAAAGACGAAGGGACCTGGAAGCAGATCTGCGACAAGCACTGGACCATGAAAAATTCCCGAGTTGTCTGTGGCATGTTTGGATTTCCGAGTGAGAGGAAATACAACACCAACGTCTACAAGTAAGAGCGGAGCTTTGTATGAGACACAAGTGTGTTTCTTTGAACACTTGGGGCCTTGTTCAAAAATGCAAATTGTCAAATGACACTGGAGACCTTGAGGTAGAAAAACCTCCAACTGCTTCATTCCTTCAGATCAGATTTTCCTTCTGTGTAAATATTTGAAATGTCAAGCATTTCCTTGTGCAGACAGGGGAGTCGTTTGATCCTCACCGTTCTGGCTGAAGACCTAGTGCAGTATCAATTGTAGTATTTGATAGGTCCTATAATAGGAGATGTGGACAGTCGGCCCAAGAAGTCTTCCCCCCCGCCCCCCCCAGCTATAGGATAGCCATTTTTTCCACCAGTGATAGGTCCTGTGTTGTGTGCAGGGGATGGATGGATGGATGTGAACAAACTGATCACACTCTCCCAGTAAACCCATCAGCTGCAAGAAAAGCTAAGCGCTTACCCCATCCCTCTGCAGAAAGCCAGCTGTAGGATCAAATCTGGTATGTGCTGAAAGCTCCAGTGGGGTAATCGTGGAATAAAACAAGCTTTTGTCGTGCTTCATTGCCCAGGTTCCTCCTTCCCGATACTGCATGCAATTCCGGGTCTCACATCTCTCCTGACACATTTACCCGCTGCTCTGGCTCTCATGGAGGCTCACCAGCCATGGTTCGTGGGTGTCCAGCTGCCAAATCACTCACAAAGGAGCAGTCTGCCCAGGGGAATATTTCCCAGTAAATCTCCCACTGTTGTTAACCCCAGTTCAGCTCCTTTGGCTCTGGCAATTCAGGCTGGAAGAGCTGCCAGCTCTGTCCATTAAAGCCTGCTCTGAGCTGAGCTGAGTGATGAGCTTAAAATGTCAGTAGTGCATCCATGCTACTCCTCCCAACATTGCTTCTGCCCGTGCATCTGAGATGGTGCTTGTAGAAGGATGCGGTTTGGGGCAGTTGTGATTTCAGTGCTGCTTTTTCTTCCTATAATTGCAGATTGCTTTAAAACGAGGGAAGAAAATAGTGATCCACAGGGAGAATGAGCTGCAGGCTGATGGGTTCAGGCTGCGTTACCTGTTTCTTGAAAGCCAGGAGCTCTGGTCTTTTTTTTGTTGTCATTCCTTCAGCTTGCATTTTGTCACCAGCCTTCATCACAGACTTGCTTCTTCCTACACTGTTCCTTAGAAATAACACCCTAAAGCAGATGCAAAATAGTTTAAGTGAAATTCTGTCTCGTTTCTTTCCTACACTGTGACCTGTGGAGTGGGAAAGTGTCAGCTGGTTAGGGGGAGAACTGAATTCTCCAGGCAGGAGTTGTGGTTTTCCTGCCTGCTCCTTTTGGCCTCTGCAATTGCTATTTCTGAAAGCTCCCTCTGGAACTGGCTGGCCACGTTTCGTTTCTTTCATTAGCAAAATCGTGATCAATTGAAGAGGTCCTTGGGTTGGAATAGCATAAAGCCACATAGCAGCACAAAGAATATAAAATAAATAACCCAAGTGGAATTCTGTTTTCAGGCTTCCTAGGGAGATGAGCAGTGAATTAATAATTGCTACCAGGCGGTCTCATGTCTTGCCCTGGACACCAGCTGGAGGAGCGTTTGCTCCCATCGGTGCAGCATGTCTCCCTCAAAATCCGAGATTCCCATCCCCCGCACCAGAGCGGGAGGGCAGAATAAATTACCTCTAGTAAGACAAAGTAGATTTTTTCCTGCTTCTCGGTTGTGATGTTTCCAAGAAAAGCATTAACTTTAGCAGCTGGAGCCATCTACCTTAAATAAAAGGGTGCTTGGTAATTGTCCTGTCTCTTGCAATAGTACACGTAGAGATGGAAAAACTGAGGCGCAGTTGTTCAGCATAATATTCAGCAATGTTGAAAATCCCATTCACCGGAGCTGGAGTTATGAATATGCAGTGCTTACAAATACCAAGCTTGGAGATCTCTGCTGCCGAGCCAGGCAGATTGCTTCAGTAGCCTCAGTGCCCTAATACCTCCCTCATCTTTGCTCATTTTCGGCAAGCAGTAACGGCCTGCTGGGCTCCTGCACCCCAGAAAGATATTTTGGAAAAGATACTGAATATTATCCCAGGTTGGAAGAAGATGGGATGTCATTTTATTGAAGGGCAGAGCCTTGTAAAACTTTGTCAGCTAGGCGGTTCTGTTTGGTTAGCGTAGTTTAAAAAAGCTGTGTTGTTTCTGGGGGTGTTTGCCTTTGTGCTTTGTGCTACTGGCAGATGTATCATGTACAACCGGCACTGCTGGTAACCTTGCTGGTGAGGGAGACCTCCCGGTTCTGGGCTGGGAACTTCACAAGTGATCTTTGCTTTACGATCAAGGTACCCGAACGATGACCACTGTAATCTGCTCGCCTGGGCCATGAAAGCACTGCTCTCTGCTTTGTCCCGTATGCTTTCTGGTCACGTTCTGTCCTGGAGAGGGAAGAGTTGGTATCTGGCTGGTCGCTTGAACTAAACCCTCTCTCCATGTGAGTGTGAAGCCTCAGAAACGTTCTTCTCATTTCTCAGGCTTTGCTCTCCCTAATTCATAAATACCATTCTCCCAAGAGCCGATCCTTTCCCGCTCCTGCTCCACAGCTGGGAGATGGGCTGGAATCGAGTGTCCACTGGCCGGGGCTCTGAGTGTCCCCGTCCCACATCCCCGCCAGTCCCGCTCCCCACAAACTACGGCTTTGCCTGCTGAGCTAGCCGAGACTGCTCTGCTTCTGCACAATGGTGGGAGGTGAAATGATTTGCAGATGGATCTTGCTTGAAAGAAAACAACTTAGTTCATTGTTGTCCCGGTGCCAGGGTTTTATTCCTGAATGTAACTTAGACTCTGCAGTTGACAGCAAAATTTATGTTAGGAAACAAAACAAATCTCAATGTTGTTTCCATGTTGTTCATTCTTCAAAGTGATTTTATATAGGCACCACTTGTAAACTCCTCCTCCCAACTCCAGCTCTGGTTGAGAAAGCAGAGTAGAATTAAATGCGTTTTGCCGATGGGGAGAGTAGATGTTTGTGATCAGAGGCGCCTGAGGCAGAGAGATGGGCCTGATGCCTTCTCGAGGCCTTACAGCTTTGTGATTTGGCAAAGAATTGGATGGAGGAGCTCAGCAGTTCCAGAACACTTCATTCAACGGCAGTCCAAACAGCATCTCCCAGTTTAACCAACCTCCCGATAGCACTATAAAGCTGGTCAGATGTGTAGGGCAGTTAATCGCTTCTATGCTTGTAGTAGAAATCTTCACGGTTTGGGTTCTCCGTAGCAAAGCCAGAATCTTAAGGACTTTGGCAGAAGGTGGCGGGTCTGGCTTCTCTTCTGCCTCCCTGAGGCTGAAGACAGCAAACCTGTTAACTTCAGTAAAGGCTTGAAGAATTTCTCAAGGGTAGAAACTTAACGCTCACACGCCTGAAGAGGAGTCCACCAGCTTCTGCTCAGTGTGTTATGGGTGAATTTTCCCAGCACGTTTGTGCGTAATGATTTGTTTTCTGCTCTCCCCGAGTCCGCTCAGGTGCATTCTTACATAGCAAGGTTGCTTTAGCTAAACCCTGAGTCACTTCCCACAGCCCTTGGGCTTAACCTGTGTCTTTGTTTAAAGCTTATGTGGTGAAGGTCCATCTCTCCTGGCCAGTCAAAATGGTTTGGGCTCCAACTTGACCTAGAATTGGCTAAAATCTCACAGCAGAACTGTTCACTCGCACCTCCGATCTGAGCAGCATTGCTCTTGGCTTGCACCAAGGCCAACGAGAGGTGGGTTGCACCCTTTCTATGTTAAAAAGTAAACAACAAGAATGCCCTGAGTTTCTATCTGTAAAGATCATCTGTATTCTACTTCTTTTTTCTATATATTCGGTCTGGGGAAACGAGGTGGGGCTTTCTCTGGCTATTTCTCCCCAGCCTACCAAGGGTTGTTAATACCAACCAGATGTTAATGCCTCATGAAATTTCCAGGATGAGGTCATTGTTTGCTATTATAAGGCATCCCCGTAATTACTTCTCTAAGACAGGCTGTGTTTCTTGTCTGCTTTGGAGTTCATGGAGCTCACATGCCTGTGGAGGGCCCTCCGTGAAAACACTCCTTCAGCTTCTCGCTTCCATACTGAGCACGCAGATTGAAGGGCTGCTGGGGCAGAGCTGGCTCGTGCTATGAGAGTATGGAGTAACATCACCGAAGGCAGGCGCTTCCAGATGCTTTCCAGTGTGTAACGTATGCCTGAACCTGTCCCCTCGCTCTGCACTCCAAGAGGACAGCTCATGTTCGAGTGGGACCGTGGTGCTGAGCTCCAGCAGTCCAAGGGCAGAGGCTTTTGTGGCATTTTGGTAGACATGTAGTATCCTGGGTAGTTTAATTGAAAGGAAGAAAAACCTTCAAGGTTTGGTCCAAATTGAACCAGATATTCTAGCTGAGAAGTGACTGGCACTTTCTTTCAGCCCGCATCCTCCCTAGTTTTACTTTTTTTAAGTTTTTTTTAAATTTTTATTCCCCCTTCCTATTTCCCATGCATTTTCTATTGATTCAGGGTCCCTGAAAGCTCTGGTTTGACAGACTTGGAGTTTGACAGCCAGTGTTTTACCCACAAGACCGGCAGGCTGCCTGTTGCCACTCCATGGGATAGATCTCAGCCTTGCCCCATCCTCCCTCCTTTCCAGCACAGCGTTTACTCCCCATCGCATGATGCAATTGCATCCCTATCTCCAGCTCAGCTGTATTTGGCCCTAACCTCAACCCAGAGAAATCTGGTTCCAGAAAGGATTAGTCAGTGGCTGCGAGCCATCTGAGCCTAGACAACTGCTGAGCTTGTCAGCAAAGCTTAGCAAGCGGAAGGGGAGAAAATAGGTCTCTCAAGCGTCTGAAATGCTGCAAATTAGCCCACACGGGACCACCAAAGGGCATCAGTTGGGAAAACCTTGACCCGTCCAGTTTAGTTTCAAACCAACAACCTATGAAGGACTCTCTGTCCCTTTACCAGATCCTGCTCGGGCTCTTTGTCCTGCAGGGACGTGCTACGGTTAATCAGAATTGATGCTCTTTCTCCCAGCAAGTTCCATCTACCTTGCTATGCCATTTATCCCAGCTAATCCTTGGATTGCCAGGACTGCATGGCAGCTAGTCCTGGAATAAAGAGCAGCAGAGGGATCTCGCAAAGCCACGTCAGGATCACAGCAGGGCGTTGGCTCCTCTGCGCCTTGACTTTTTTTTTAACTTAGCTTCTAACATCTCCCTTTTGGTAACAACCTGACCCATATTTCTGTTTCGTTGACTATTTTAGCTCCCATACAGCCGTCTGACAGCCTCGCAAATGCAGTTAGGATGAAGCTGGATTACTTTCTTTTCTCGTTTATCACACGTGCCCCTTCCCCCTTAGGAGTCCCTGGAGCAGCTCCAGGCAAGTGCTACAGTTTGGGAGCAAGAAGCAGAAACTGCTGCCAACCTCCTCTGCTGTGAACATGTCATCAAGGGAATTGCTCTTGCTCTCGGAAATTGCTTTCAGGCTCGCAGTTGTTAACACTGCAGCTTTGAGAGAAGCCGGAGAGCCGTGACTTTTTCCCAGTCTGCCATCTTCTCGCAGCTGGTAGGCGATGGCCAGCAAAGAGAACAGCTCCTTTATGGGAGAGGTCTTTTGGGGGCCTCTCCAGTCCAAACTCGCCAGCGCTATTTGCACAGGCCCTGTTTGTACGCTGCCTTTGGAATTAACTGATCTCTGACCCCTGCATAACGTAGGGATCTCTATTACGGGTTTCTGCTTCGAGTGCATAACTGTTGCTCTAGCTGTGCTGTTGATTCATACTCTGATCTTTAGCTCCAGGAGACGACCTGTTTACTCCCAAGTGACACCTTAACAGAGAGTCATTGTGTGTATGAATGGATCAGCTTTCAAATAACGCTGTTCAATCCTCATTTTACTTCAAGGCGTTTTTTTCCCAAATGTAGCTACATCAGTGCAGTTTTTACGGATTCCTAACTTTTATTTTCCTGTTCCCTTTTATTCCTTTAAGGATGTTTGCCAGCAGAAGGAAGCAGCATTACTGGGCTTACTCAATGGACTGCAGTGGGAACGAGGCTCACGTCTCCAGCTGCAAACTGGGCAATCACCTCAACGTGGACGCAGAGAAGAACGCGACCTGTGAGAACGGGATGCCTGCAGTAGTCAGCTGTGTCCCTGGACGTGCCTTTGCCCCCAGCAGCCACAGTGGCTTCCAAAAAGCCTTCAGGCAGGAGGTGAGCAGGGAGCAAATGCAACCTGTCAAGTAGGAAAAGCCTGGGGGTGTAACTATTCACCATCAGTTACCAGCTGTAGGGCCTGAAGATGTGTATGCCCACAGCCACGAACCAGCCCGTTGTGCAAATGTCCTCTTTTTGTATTCCTTTCTCGCTACAAGCCCAGCTGAGTTTCCATCCTCACAAATACACGGTACCTTGCCTCCGTCTACGGGCTCGGAAGGGTGGGAGACCGGCTCGCCGCTGCAGCTGGCAAGGCTGTGAGCAAGTAGTAAGAAAACACATTTGTCACGTTTCTGTTGGAGCTGTTCTGTTCAAGCCAATTGAATGCATGCCCAGTTGCTGCCGGGCTTTGCTGTTTCACGGTCACTTAAATACTGCTGGGTTGTTTCTCCCGTAGAGGTACAAGGGAAATAAGCTGGCATTTCCACTACCACTGTACCTTCTGCAAAGAAATGCCCTGAGAAACTGGGAAAACGTGGCCTACAGGAAAGGTTGAAAAAGCTGTGTTTGTTTAGTCTAGCAAGGAGAGGGCTGAGTGTAGCGTAAAAATTCTAAGATATGCAAAAGGCTGTTATAAAACAACCCTGGAGTCAGTTGTTCTCAGTGTCACTGAGGTAAGTGAATGTGAAAGAACAGCTCAACTTGTGGGAAATGTGGTTTAGGTTGGTGCTAATGGAAATTTTCCAGCTGTAAGGTATGTGCAGCCTTAGGATACAACAGTGATCTCGGGGTCTGGAGGCCCTTAATGCCGGGTTAGAGGGGGTTTTTTTGCAGGGTGCATTAGGTGCTTTGGATCTTGGCTGTAGCCTGTATCTCCCAGCCCCATGATTTTAGGAGAGGGCTTTCTCTTGGCACCCCAGGCGACATCTCCAGACGCCGCCGTAGTGGGAACAGTGCAGTCCTGCCCGTGGTTTGCTTGCCTGGGATCCGGGCGCTTCTCCGCACGACAGCTTGCAGGATCTAGGCCTCAAAGGTGAAAGGTCTTGTAAATCATTACTAATCTTCTAAGCCATGCGCACTGCCAAGTAATTCCTTAAGCCTTTGTGTAGGCGCTGGATGTCCTTCGTGTGACCCCAGCTTGGAGAACTATATCTGCTTCCAGTTTTAAAAGTTAAGGTTTTTTTTGATCTCGGATTCTGCACAAACCACGTGGGGTTCCCATATCTAAGACTCCGCTCCCACCGCAACAACCCCTCTCTCGGGTGCAGCCGCAGGGTGTCCCTGCTTGGTACTGGGCAAAGACGTAAGCGATGTATAGTCGGTGACTAATAGAAATATAAGAACAGAAAATAATGAAACTGGACCTGCCACCCAGCTGTGTATTTCTGACTGCGATCTGCCAGGTCACTTATTCCACTAGTCGTAACTGCAGCGGACAGATAGGTTTTACGTGGCTTGAGTTGCACGTTGGTCTCCTCGGTTAACCCAGGACCCCTGCCTGGAGATCTGTACAGCAAATGAATCCATCTAGCGGCTGAACCACAGGCAGCAGTGGATGAGAGCAGCGTGCTAGCTGGCTGGGTGCGATTCCCAGGCCTCCTATAAGGCTCCCAAGGGATATGGTATGACAACGGGGTTGTTGCATGTCCAGCCGCTCCTGCTGCAGAACTGCTTGTGTGAAAAAAGGCTCCTAAATCCAAGCACTAAACCTGCACAGAACTAAGATGTCTATTCTCTCTTTATTCTCTGCTCACGTACAGGGATGTAAGAAACATATGTCTATGCATACCATAAGTCTTAGCAGATAAAGATTTCCTTTCATCCAGCACTTTTAGCCTTTTGTATTATGTGGTTGTTTTAAGATGCCTCAGGGTAATAATTTTTGGGCCACAACTTACCTGCAGCCACGTGCTGTTATAAGGCTCCCAAGGGATATGGTATGACAACGGGGTTGTTGCATGTCCAGCCGCTCCTGCTGCAGAACTGCTTGTGTGAAAAAAGGCTCCTAAATCCAAGCACTAAACCTGCACAGAACTAAGATGTCTATTCTCTCTTTATTCTCTGCTCACGTACAGGGATGTAAGAAACATATGTCTATGCATACCATAAGTCTTAGCAGATAAAGATTTCCTTTCATCCAGCAGCACTTTTAGCCTTTTGTATTATGTGGTTGTTTTAAGATGCCTCAGGGTAATAATTTTTGGGCCACAACTTACCTGCAGCCACGTGCTGTAAATAAGAGCTGTAAAGAAAGGATGCTTCGTTCCTAGGCAGTGGTAGCACCGTTTCTGTCTGTGTTTTCCAGCAACCACTGGTGAGGCTGAAAGGGGGAGCCAACACTGGCGAAGGACGAGTTGAAGTCCTGAAAAACGGGGAGTGGGGAACGGTTTGCGACGATAACTGGAACCTGGTGTCGGCTAGCGTGGTGTGCCGGGAGCTGGGCTTCGGGAGCGCCAAGGAGGCAATAACGGGCGCAAGGCTCGGGCAAGGTAAGAGCAGTGAGAGCTCCCAGGACCGTTCGTGCCTTGTCCACCTCCGAGAACCCTTTCGTGATTCAGGGCAGAGCGTATTTTTACTGGGATGTTTGTTTTGGGGACCAGGAATTTATTCTCTACCCTTAATAAGGCTCTTGAGTCCAGAAGCTTGCAGCCGAACTGGAATACGTGACTTAAAAAAATCTTGAGATTCCTTGAAAGAAGTCGAGCGATGATGACTTTAACCTTTCCCTGAGACAGCTGTGCCAGTAATTACTTCTTCGTTATCACATCCGTTGCTCTCAAATTCTCTTTACGAGTTGTCTAGATCCACATCATGGTGTAATGCATTACTAGAAGGTTCCTGGCAAAAATGGGTCCTGGATCTAGACTTCAAACACTCTCCAATTTAAGACCAGAACATTAATTTAGCCCATTATAAATAGAAGGGCATTTGAACAGTTCAGAGCCAGGTTTGGGTTTGGATTTCCTGTATTTGGGAGTTGGTTTAAATCCCAAACTGTGGTAAATGGTAACTCAGAAGCCTAACGTACGCCCTCTCAAACCACCTTCTGATTCACACACCTTGCTCCCATAGTGTAAACCCTAAAGAAAATGACACCAAACCAAACCCTTTCTTGTGAGATTAAATGAATGGGTGAAATTTCTTCAGCCCAGCATGGTTTGGAGAAGGGGAGGGAAAGTAACAGCACGTGTAAGGCACAGTGGTGGCGTCCAGAATCTGGAAAGCTTTAAAATGTGACCTGTCCGTTGGATTTGCCAAAAAAAACCCATCTTGCGGTGGGATGCAGGGAGCTGCTGATGTGTTTAGCGGCATCTAGGAAACAGCGTAATCGTCCTGGGGGGAAGCAGCGGCAGGAGATCGCGCCCTTCCCTGCCGTCTCCCCCAGCCTGGAGACTCTTAGCAGCGGCTGCCGATTCCCACACGCTTTCCTTTCTTTTAAACACTGGCAATCGATCAGTGCACCCTGTCAAAGGTGTCCTCTGGGATGACAAGCGCTTGGTAACTCCCTTCAGCAGCCGGATCGTCACGTTGTGGTAGGAAAAGGAGCTTTTTTGGCCCAAACTCGCCTCCGCGCTCCCGTTGCACGGGGGAGCCTCACGGCTGTTAAACTCTGTGTCCATGTGCACGTCTACGCTTTGCTTTGTTACAGCTGCGTCTCGGTGAATTTGGGTGTTCAAAGACTAATTTGAAGGTCCAGTCTCATCGTTGCTGTGTTGGAGATTTAATTTCACAGGGTAAAACGCATAAAGACGGGCTATGTGTTAAATCAGCGTGCAGTATCTATAAGTCCCAGTTAACACCGGTGGGAGACGAGTGCCTACCACAAAGCGTTCAGGGTACGGAGGAGATGATTTATTCTCCCTTTTACAGATGGGCAACTGAGCCCCAGATGAAACAATTTACACTTATTCACACAGGAGTTATCTGAAAGGAAGATACTGAGCCCAGATCTCCCAAATGTGTTGTGCACTGCAACGTCCTGGGACGGAGAACATAGAATAAAACCTCGAGCAGTAGGTGAATGTATATATTAGATATACAGTCCTAATCCTGTTCTTATGCTAAAGGGAATGGCATGGGAGGAAATGTAAGTTTTATCACCATATTTCAGCACATATAGCAATGCAGTTTGGCTACATTTCAGTGCCTGGGACAGCAGCGCTTACTGCCTCCACATATCATAAAAGAATTTCCCCGAGAAGAGCAAATGTGCCGGGGTGACGTGGATCAGCACTGTGGCCCTGCCCTCTTACTTTGTCATTTCATTGGTATGACTTTGTCGGGCTATTTCAGTGGAGAATGTCAGACTGGATCCATCCTGCGTTCTTGGTGCATCACCCTCCAATTCTGGTCAGCATCAAGGCATTCCTCCTACTCGAACTGTTCGGTGGCTGGCAAAACGATTAGGTCAGTGTCACCATTTCCAGATGTAGACCACAAACAGGATTTTAATAAGAGAGAAGCCAAAAAGGCTAGCTACGTGTTCCCCAGCGGCCTCAGCCTAGGAGTCTGCTCCCACATCGTATAGATCTTGTGTGATGGGTGGATACAGGGCTGGCCGAAGTGCTAAGGGGCAAAAAGCGGCCAGAGCCAAATGAATTCTGTGGATGAGATTGAACCCAATACATTTACATCTCTGCCTTTGCTGTTCTTGCTGCTGTTGTCAGAAGGCAGCTCCAGGGTACATCCTGACTCATTCCACCACACAAGCGTGGAAATATGCTAAAGAGCATTTTGGGGTTTTTTTTAATTATTTTTTTCTGTTTTCCCTGTGCCTCAGCAGAAGTCTGAGGAGGTGAGGGTTCACCAGACGGGTCATTAAACTGTCACCCACGGTTAGGTCTCTGAGTCACAGGTGTGCTGGCTGCCACATAGAGTTAGAAAGGCTCCAGATGGCAGTAGGAAGAGGCTTTTAAGCACAAGGATCCCGCCTACCGTTAATAAACCAATTACATTTTCTTGCTTTCCAGAGTCAGCCCTTTTCTTTGAACTAAAAGGAGGAGGCTTAAAGTTGGGTAAAATTTTCCTTTCCGGAGGAGTGAGCAAAAGAGGGTTCGTGGTGAAGCAGCACGTGCCCGGGAGGCTGTTGGTCAGAGCACAGCTGGCAGTTCTGCCACTGTCTAACTTGGGGAAATTTGTGTCATTTTGGGGTGTGGACGAAGAAACGGAGCCAGAAGCCGGGATGTCGTTTCCATGGTCTTGTTCTCTGCTGATTTGAACGCTCTGAGACAGGTACGGCTCTCTGGCTCTGCGGAGCCTTCATCGCTTGGGCTATGGTGAGAATAGCGTGGCAGGAATGAAGAATCAACCAGTCACTGTCAGAAATGGTAAGAAAACAGTTGCTTTTCTACCTCCATTACCCAAATTGGTCAGCCTGGCCTCCAGCAGCCTACCAGTGTGTGCTATGCGTGCTGAGAAGGGGAACTCCAAACTGAACGCCAATTCCTATCTCTGGTGTTGGGCGACCTCTTCCAGCTGGTGGAAGGAAGGTATCAGTGGGTGGATGCTGCTTTCTTGGAAACATCTTCTGTGGCTTTTGCCTTTCATCGCCACCGTCCTCCTGCTGCTCCTGGCTGCTGACCAGACATGGGCGCACCTGCAGCTCAGAAGGGCCTGGCCAAGGGCTGCGGTGAAGCAAGGCACCGGCGGGTCAGAGCATGGCATCTGCTGGCGTTTTGATTGCGCCGAGTCTGGAGGGAACGTGTTGACAGCAAAGTTCAGAAGTGTTTTTATTCTTAGCTTCCCATCTCTGAAAGCTTCCTAGAAAATGCTGGAGACCAGAGGTTCTACATCTGCTACTTGCAGGGATCTCCTGTCAAAACTATCTGGTGTGTTTCCATCAGCAATTACTCAAGGATTATATGGGCTCCAAGAAGGACTCTGGTTGTTCTTCTGTGATGAAGATCATCTGCTGGAACCTCTGATTCATCCCCCCCAAAACTTCCTTCTCACCAATTTTGGGCTGGGTTTGGAAACAGGACCCGAGAGCTTTACAGGCAGGATTATTGCCTTCTCGTATGTCTCTCTCCTCTTGCTGGGTCTCTTTGGTGGAAATGAAAATTGTCTGCTGCCACTTGTCCAGAGAGGAACCACATCATTCAACTGGGCTCCCACCAGCTCGAGACCGTTCTCTGCAGTACAAATGGATGTTCGCCGTCTTGTTTCCGTCGGTGGCGTTGGACTCTGTAACACACACCTGCCCCAGAGTTGTTTCACTGACTTCTCGCACATCCCTGCGGTGTTATGTTTTGTTGTCCCATTTAAATGTCAGGGCTTGATTGGGAGCAGATTCCAGCATGCAGACCCAGCCAGAAGGTCCTAATTTGCGAATTCCTGCAGCTGAAGTTTGTAAATTATGTAACAATGGAAACTTGGCTTTTTCTGCGGTTCTTGCGTGCTTGAGTCCCAGAGACCACTGAAAAGAATTGAACGGTAAAATTATTAATAATAATCTTGCAGCTTTTTGTTTTATTTTTACAAGAAATCACTGGAATTTTTTCAGGATTACCGTGTTTTGAATGCTAGAGGCTAGTGTGACGTCTGCAGTGTATTAATAACTGTTCTTGGGTATTTCTTCACCGCACAGTAGCACGGACAGAAGGTAAGGGCTCTCTTTTCTTCTTTTCTTCCCCGAGGCATGGGTCCAATTCATCTAAACGAAATTGACTGTACGGGCTTTGAAAAATCAGTCACGGACTGCAAGTTCAACATGGAGTCGCAGGGCTGTAACCATGAAGAAGACGCTGCTGTGAGATGCAACGTTCCAGCGATGGGTTTCCAGAATCAGGTGCGAAGCCAAGCGATCTGGATGCGAGTGAGCGTGGTGAGGTGTTTTCATCCTGGAGCGTTGCCTGCCCTCCCTTGCTACGCAGTGCAGGGCGTCTGGGTGGGAACCATTTCACCCAAGCCATGCCTGTTCAGTTTTAGATTTTTAACATCTGTGTTGTATTAGACAGGAGGGCAAATAAGGATGATGCTCCTTTTTTGTACTGAGCTTTGAGCTCCTCCCAGTGTGAAGGGGTTATAAACGAGTCAAGTGCTGCTCCAGCTGCAACCTGTGCAGTCCAGTGGCCCTGTAAAGCTGGTGCATGTCCCTGTTGTGATGGGACCTCGGTTGGGTCTCGTGACAGTGGCACCTGGGTGCCTGCTGGCATAGGGGCTGCTGTCATCTTTGCCACGTGGAGCTTAAAAACTAACGGCACGAAGCAGTTCCTCGGAGTAAATGCTCCTGCCAAAGGGAATGGAGGGGGGAAGGTTTCATAGGGAGCGTGTTACTCTCTTGCAGCTGGTACGGGCCAATTTCAGATGCTGGGCTGCTTCCCATCCATGGTGGGAGACGAAGAACCAAACTGCACCAACCGGTCTGCTAGCAGCTGAACTGAGGTTTCTGGGCTCGGTGAATTTAACCACAAGCCTCGAGAAGACCCTGAGCGTCGCTTGCCCAACTGTTGCATATTCCCTATAAAGTTTGCTCTGATGTTTATTGACATAGGAGTTTTTATGCCCTGCAGCTGCGTCTGAGCGGCGGCCGCAACCCTTACGAGGGCCGGGTGGAGGTGCTGGCAGAGCGCAACGGCACTCTGAAGTGGGGCACCGTCTGCAGCGAGAACTGGAGCACCGTGGAGGCCATGGTGGTGTGTCGGCAGCTGGGCCTGGGGTTCGCCAGCCATGCCTTCCAGGTGGGTCCCTGCACCCTCCCGTGCCTGTGTTTCGGATGTGGTGGCATGTGTGTGGTTGGGTAGGGGCTACTGGAGGAGGAGGGTTTATTAAAAAAAAAAAAGAAAAAACCACAAACCACAGCATTCAGCTTCAAGGCGTTAGCTGGAGAGACCCTGAAGGTTAAACCTCATTGCACAACAGCCGTTGGGGGAAATTCGGAGCAGAAGGAGCTCTTGCAGCTCTGGGCAAAGCTGCTGTTTTCATGCTGCTCAGGGCTCAGGTTTCCTGGGAAGCCTGGCTCCCTTAGCCCCGTTTGGGCTGGTGGTTACGTGCAGTTCCTTGTCCCTCCCTGAGTCAGTGGGGAGTTGAACTCCTCAGGCTGACTGAAGTGTGGAAACCAAGTTTAACCTGGTGTCAAATCACTTGAAAACGATTTGGTTTTGCTCCTGTAGTTACTTCTCAGCGCAGTGTGTACGCTAGCGTGTGGTGGAGCTGCATGCATTTCTTGCTCCTCTAATGACAAATGCCCTAAACCCTCCCCGCTTGCACATGACTAAGGATGGCACTTAATAAAGGGATAAAAGCTCCCAACTAACAAGCTTGGGATAACCACAAAGGAATAAAGTGTTCTTTCCCAGCAAAGCTCTTTGGCGCAGTGACCGGCAGCCTGCTGTACTGGCTGGAGGAAAGCAAGCAGCGACCGTAAGAGCTGGAAGGAAGGGAGGGCAACAGCTTCCCACCCAGTTCCCAGATGGATAAATGGCATCAGGTGTAAGTAGCTGGTGTAGGCTACCAACCCTGGTGCAAGATACTCTTCTGTACTGATACATCCCTCAAGGATCACAAGGTGAAGGAGGGGCAGGCAGACCTAGGTGTAACAGTAGATTTTGAAAGGAAATATATAACCTCTAGGCCTTTATTGGAGTTCCCAGACATCGGGAAAATGGGGATTTGGGCTCCTAAAATAAACTAGTTTCTCCCTAGGACAAAGTCATCCCCTGCCAGAGCTTGCTGTGCTCTGGAAACGCAGCCCCTTTGAGGCATTTCAACCGAGAATCAACAATTGCCAGCAGCTTTGGGGAAACTTAGGCTCAAAGGCCACTGAATAAATAAACTTCATGTGTGTTTATATAGATGGAAACCCGCACACAGAAAACAGCCTTACATCAGTTCTGGAAAGAAAACTATTTTCCCCAAACAATTTCCGGAAATCGAAAACTTGGGCAAAGAAGTAAAGCGTGGTTGCAGAGAGCGAAGGCTGTCCCCGTTCCCCCAGCCTGGGGTCCGGTCGGCTCTGCTGTAGTTTTGTGCCGTGTCTGGCCTGCTCAGCAGTCAGATGCAGCCGGCTCTGCTGGGCTGCAGCGATAAACCCAGTAAGAATTAGCATCTCTGCTGACTGCCTGCTGGTGTTGTGCTGGGAGGAAAAATAAGGCCCTGAAATGACGAATAGCCTCAGCATCCTCGGGGCTGGCGGCTGCCTATTGAGAAAGCAGGAGAGACCGTAGGCAGAAACGGACAGTTAAAACTCTGCCTGGAGAGCGCAGTCCTGCAATGAGTTTGTCTTTAAGGAGTGACCAAGCCGGGATCCAGGAGGGCACCCTGGGCTCGTGGGCAGGTAGATTCCAACCAACTGAACTGTTATCCGTGGCCAGAGAGGGGATCTGCAGGTCCCCGAGGGACGCGCTGGGGTCGGATACCCAGGAGGTAGAAGGCTGGAGCTGCCCACGCCGCTATAGCAATCCCCCCCCCCCCCCCCCCCGTGCAAGCTGGTTCCTCCAGCTGATTTGCCTGCGTAGCTGCCAGGCAGAGCATAAGAGCTGAGGATAGCCACGTACCTTGAACGCTGGCCTTTCCAGCTGCCTGGCTCTATTGACACAGCCCTGAGAGTCCAGCAAGAAACAAGACATTTTTTCCTTTAGCCGAGACTGCTGGTATTTAGAACAGAAAAGGCCCTTATGCGTATCCCGGCTGCACCAGCTACACGAGCATAAAGCTACACTGTGTAGAACAGGGCAGTCCTGTCTGCATGTGTGCAAAGAGTGTTGGTAACAGGGTTAACAAACAGCCTGTTGCAATGGAAGCAATGGTACAGATGGGTTTTCTTTTCCTGGAAACGTGCTCCCAGTTTTGACACTAACAGATCTGATATTTTTTTTTTCTTTCTTTCTTTCCTCCCCTTCTCCCAAGCTTTGCAGTTGCAGCTTCATCAGAGTTTAGCGTGCTTAGTTTTGTGAGCGGTGTTATGTTGCGAGTTAATTTTCTGTCATTCCCCCCAGTTTTGTAAAACTGAGTGATGAAGATGAGCAGCGAGCAGGGTTTGAACATCTGTGAATCCCCCCTCAGAACCAAGAGCTGCAGACCCTGGGTTAGCAGACCCTGTTAGTCCTGGTTCTCCTCAAATACCTTGTTTCCACTGGCATTTCCAGCATGGCTGTGAATTCTGCCTCCCCTCCTTGTGCAAGCAGGCCCTCTGGCATTACTTGTGGCCCTCCCAAGTGCACGGATGTCACAAGACTGATGTGGTTTAATTGCTGGGCATCTCTCCCAAAGGCACAGCCCAGATGACTTACAACAGCCCGAGGATTAATTCATCAGCTGGATGGGCAGAGCAGGGTGGAAAAGTGAGTTTACGGCTGGATTAAAAACAAGCAAAGATTTAAACCAGCTCCGAAACAAGGAGAGAGATTTGCTTAATGCGTTCAGGGCAGGGAACATGGTCAACCTGGGTTTTAATTCCAGTCCCAGGCTTCTGCTTAAACAGACTTGGGCTCATTCCCTGAGTTGCTCTGCTCCAGCATCCTTTGGCAACATCTGTCTCCTTGATAGTGTTGGCTCTGGCATTGATCTTCCCTGGAGGGAGAATGCAAGTTAGAGGGGGGTGAATATTCCTCCAGCAGTCCTCTAAACACTGAAGAGTGTGTGAAATGCCTTTTTCTGCCCAGGAAACCTGGTACTGGCATGGAGACGTCAGCGCTGACAACGTAGTCATGAGCGGTGTCAAGTGTTCGGGGACAGAGATGTCCCTGGCCCACTGTCGTCACGACGGAGCCGACGTCTCCTGTCCCAGAGGAGGTGGTCGTTTTGGTGCTGGTGTGTCCTGCTCGGAGAGTGAGTAATTCAGGTTTTATTTCATTTTGGCTTAAGCATTTGCCCCGAGATATGCAGGAGGAGAAATGGGGTGGCCCATGCTATGCCACCCCATGGAGATTTCAAAACAGGGGCAAATTGCTGCTGATGGGGCTGAGAAATGCAGTGCAAGGAAGGGGCTGGCCTCCATCTCTGGCAGATGCTTGTGGGGTTTTTTAGTAGCCCATCAGATAATTTCAAACCTTCCTGCCTGCCTGCCAGCTGCCCCTGACCTGGTGCTCAACGCCGAGCTGGTGGAGCAGACGGCCTACCTGGAGGACCGCCCGATGTTCATGCTGCAGTGCGCACTCGAGGAGAACTGCCTGGCCAGCTCGGCCGTCAACACCTCCGTCACTTCTGGGTACCGGCGCCTGCTGCGCTTCTCCTCCCAGATCCACAACAACGGGCAGTCCGACTTCCGCCCCAAAAACGGCCGCCACGCCTGGGTCTGGCACGACTGCCACCGGTGAGTGCCACGGAAAGGGTTTTGCGCGGTCGGTGCCTCCTTCCATCCCTTCCTGCTGCCCGTGGGGGACTGTGTGGCCACGGGAGTACGTGCTGGAGCCACGGCTGCGGAGCTGTGACGTGTGTTAGGGCAGCCGTCGTCCTCCGACGGCAGAGAAACCAGCTCGTTACAGTAGGAATGATAGTTAAGAACTGGTATGTGAACAAGACAGATGCGGAGCTCTCGTTGGGAGAGGTGTACGTGCAAGGGCAGTATATACGTGGGAGTAGCGTACGTACGGACGGAAGGAAGCGTGTGCCTATGTACCCGCTGTGTGTAGAAAGATGCAGCCATCTGAGTTACTTCCCTCACCTGGGAAAGGACTCCAGAACATGCTGTAATTCTGCATTTTTTTTTTTAAATGCATCTCGAATCCACTTAAAACTGTGTACAGCTGGGAGATTGTTTTGTGCTTATGTTGGACAAACAGTAAATTCATCCCATAAATGCATCATTTTTCATGGGGAAGGTGACAGTTTCAGCCAAAGTAAACCAGGGGGAGGAAAGAGAACCAGAACCAAGCCATCCAGATGCTTTGCTTCTGAAATGATGACTTATTATGAGGTTGCTTTTTCTCTAACTTGGGGGTAGAAGGGAGCTAAGTAACTTGCAGCGCACAGCTCTTGTCCTGCCGCTGTTGTAAGACAGTTGTGAAAGTTGTTGTAAGCTTTGTGAAAACATCAGAGCAGTAAATTCTCAAATCGAACAGCCCTTCGTAGTCTTCATAAACAGCGTGAGCGAGGCAAAGCCTGTAGGTAGCACTGCGTCAACGGACCTGAAGCTTCAGATCGTGGCGTGGGGCAAATGTTGGCCGCTTACCCTGCAGACAGGTTGGTTTGGGGTGTTTGCAGTCGGAGGCGCAAGCAGAACTAAAACCTCGGCAGCACAGAACCGAAGGTAAATAGGCAATGGTCTGTTTAGGGGAGGAGGAAACCCGGACCAGCGCGGTGCGTCTGCCTCTTTGGCCCTGTTGGGAAGGGGCTGGGGGAATACGTGGGTACCGCAAGGCTTTGAGCACGTCGCAGGCTGGGTAAAAAGGAGGACGCTGGGAGCTCTTTGGGGGAGACTGGGAAGGGATCAGCAAGAGACCGAGAGCCATCTGTGTGCTTTAAACGGGATCCTGTTTATATGGAGGAGGATGAACTCAGTTCCTCTTCGGTCTTTCCAGTCTGTAAACACCAGAACGTAAACACCTCTTTGAATGATTCAGACATATTTCAGAAACTGAGTCAGACTTGAGAACCTCAAACTTTTATCAGAGGCAGCCAAATTAGACAGCCTGAAAGCCAACAGCTCAGCCACTGCAGAATGCCTCTTCTCTCCTAGCTGCCTCGCTCCATCACTGGGAGCTTCTGTTTAGTTGGCTTTTGATGTGGAAGTAAAACAAAAATGGGAAAGACCTGTAGCAGGCAGGGAAAAGTGATTAAATTCTGGCAGGTGGCAAGTTGTTGTTGTTAGGGGAAAGGCAGGAGGAGGTAAGAAGAAACCCACTCTCCAGAGGAAAAAATTTCCTCCCCTTCCCTCCTTTCTCCTCCTTTATCTGTAAATACGTGTGCAGAGCGATGCTGCAATAATGGTGGTTGGAAGTTTTTAAGCCGTGATTATTTTTACAGCTGGAAAGGAGAGGATTTCTGCACTTTTCTTCTTCTTTTTTTTTTCTTAAACTCCTAAGCAATGGCTTTTGAATTAGGGCCTGTCTGTGCAGTTGCCTCACTCCTCACAGCTGAGATATGCAGACGGGCTCCGGTGCGTCTCAGCGCCGCGTTCCCATAGCTGGGGGAGATGTGCAGGGATTTAAGGACCCGCTCCGCTCTCAGCACCCGCGGTTGCTCTCCTGTTCCCCACGACGTGCTCGCGCTGTGGATTTGCTCCCGATTCCAAAGCCGGGATCCAATTCAACCCGTTGCATCAGCATGACCGCGTTTCTGCGCCCAGCCCTGACCACGTGGAGCGCACAACTCTGTTTTAATCGGGTGCTTCCATCTGCTTCCAGCTCTACAAGGCCCATCGACTTCAACTGGACCCAAGCACAGGCTTAATTTTTTGCTGAACCAGCAGTGTGGCATCGAAAAGGTCGATGTTCCCAAGTTCACCACCACCCAAACCCTGCCATGGTCTAACCTTGCTGGTTTAGGGGGCTACAGCATAGATTGCGTGCACTCCCTTAACTCTTGCTGTGCCCGAGAGTGCTGGAGCGCTCCCGACAGCAGCCCAGCTCGGGCCGAGTTGACGCTAGCACCTCCCCGTTTAAAATTATGAAACGTATCGTGTGTGAACCCAGCTGTCGGGTTGTTTAGATCTGAGTGGAGCGAGTGCTGGGAGAAGCTGGTTCCATCTGTTGTTAGTTTTCTGCCAATAAATTTCCATTCTGCTTCTTAAAAATAAATAAATAAGAATAGCCAGGTTGCCGGTCTGGGTACATCCAGCTCTGCTTCCAGCCTGTTGTTAAGGAGCAGGTGAAATATTTCTTATTCTGGTAAATGATAGGGCCACTAGAAATGATGACTTGGCTGACAACGGCTTGGATTTTTTCCCCTTCCTTGCCGTTATAAAACTTGGTGTGATTCTACGGAGGCTGGAGCAAGGCTCTCCCCTGGAACAGCTTTAGCACTTGATATATAAACAAATATCCAGGCCAGGAGCCAGCACGCAGGCAGCACGGGTGACGGCGCCACGTGGGATTATGCCCAGGGGAATATTTTCGGGCCGTGGTTTTTCTTGTTCTTCCTCCTGTAGCACGGCTTGGTCCGTAGCCCTTCACGTGCTGTCGTGTATTTACCCCCGTGGCCGTGGGGACGGGGCTGGGAGGTGAAATGCCTGGCCCGAGGGATGCAACAGCACGGAGTCACGTCTGGGCTACTCGCCTCCAAGCTGTTGTGCCCTAGCCACTGGACCATCTCTGCTTGGGCAGGCCGTGCAGCCCTTTAGACCCGGTAATTAAAGTGGTGTCTGTTTTCCCTAAAGATAATTCTCGCTGTCTGTGCCTTGCAGGCATTACCACAGCATGGAGGTTTTTACCCACTATGATCTGTTGAACCTCAATGGAACCAAGGTGGCTGAAGGACACAAAGCCAGCTTCTGTCTGGAAGACACCGAATGCGAAGCAGGTATATTTGCCAGAGCCCGCGGTGCTGGGAGTTTATTGCTGTCCCCGTACAGACGACTGGCTTCAAAGGTGCTGTCAAAGTCCTGAGCGGGGCTAGGACGTGGCCTGACAGGAGCCAGAAAGCAGTCCTGAGGTGGTACCACATCTCTACAGCTCTAAGAGAATCCCCGAAGGCCCGGTGTGCTGAGATTTTCAGACCTCGGCTCCTTACATCCTTACTCTGAGCTGCTCTGAAAACCTAAGCGTGCATTTTCTGATTCCTGCAAAGTGAGAAATTCCCAAACGTGCCTGTAGGTGATGAGGTACGGAAGGTGGCAGCTCCTCCCGGGCAGTTAAGCAGCACGTGTATTTCAAGACAAGGCATTGAGCAAAACACTGCTGTCTTGAACCTCATCCAAAATCCTGTGCCTGTAGCTTATCGCTGTCTACGGGAGCTGGAGAGCAACTAGCCCTTCCTCTGACGTGTGCGAGGGTGGGAAATTCCCGGCCCGACTTGCTGTGAATCTAACGCTTTGTGCCTTTAACTCTTCTCGTTTAGATGTGCAAAAACAGTATGAATGCGCCAATTTTGGTGAACAAGGAATCACAGTTGGATGCTGGGACGTGTACCGGCACGATATCGACTGCCAGTGGATCGATATTACCGATGTCCCGCCAGGCGATTACCTCTTCCAGGTACGGGAGAAAAAGAGGGTTTGAGACACTGTCACTGCTTTTATCTTACCCATTAGGGATGTCAAGAACATAACTAACGAGTGTATTTGTACATCTCCTACAGTACTATAAACTTCTGATTACAAAGAGATTATATTCCCAGGATATAGATAAAGAATAAAAGACAAAGAATTACCTAACAGGACAACAAAGTGTTAGCAGATCGCATCCCCCAGTGAAAAATCCGGGCCAATAACCACAGCTTAGAGATGACAGTCTTGAGAAATCCGCACCCAGCTAATACTTGATAGTCCTACGTGATCCACGTGCAGCTAACGTTGTCGCCACACTGCATTACGTGCCGTGTTATATATACGCGCAGCATCCCGCTGTTGTTTTGTACTAAGCTTTTGAGCTGTTTGTAAGCCACGCTCGCTTTGCTTGGGGATGAAATGGTGTTATTCTGGTGGCGGTTGCGTGAGGAGTTAGGACTGTGCCTGTTTTGTGCAAGTGGGTGGAGTGGGGGGAATTCTTTGGTACTAAAAACAGCCACTCAAACTGGAGAGGAGCGAGGGGCAGAGGAATTATTTTTGCCTGCCCTGCTATGGTGTGAAATGTAGAGAAGGTGTTTGAGGGTATATCGTGGTGCACGGGGGAAGGTGTGATCTCGATCTGGCTTTAATCAAGTAGTTTCTGTGTCCTTGCAAAATGAGTTAGGTTGTTTCTGTTAAAAAAAAAAAAAAAAAAGTATTATGATGTAATGAAAAAGCCGATTCTGTCTCAGTCTGACTAGTATCCTATCCAGTCCAGCTTTAAATAACTTCATGCCGTGTTTCTCCATCGCTCCCTAGGTTGTCATCAACCCGAACTATGAAGTTGCTGAATCCGATTATTCAAATAACGTGATGAAATGCAGGAGCCGGTATGACGGGCAGCGCATCTGGATGTACAACTGCCACATAGGTGAGAGTGACTTCTGCAGGGGAAAGTTTAATGACTGCATCGCCCACTCTTCGCTGGCAATGCTTTCTGCTTCTGTCGCAACGTGCTTACGTGCCGTTTATCGCTTCGTACGGGTGTGGGAAGACGAGATGCTGAGCCCGAACTTCACTGGTGCTGTTTGCTGTAGGCTGTTCGAAGGCAGACCCCAAAGTGTCTCTGCTACAGGGTGGAGCTGCTACAGGTCGCGAAGAGTAAGGTGGCTGGATGGGGGTGGGATGGTTCCTTACCGAGTGCTGCGTTGCACGTCTTGCTGGAGCAGCAAGCATGACACTGGTAAAACAGAAAGAAATCCCTCAGGCTTGGTAGAACAGGGATAACAGATGTCCCAGCTCTCCCTCTTCTGCAAGGAAATGAGTATTTTTCCCTCCCAGGACTGTCAGAGGTAAGGAAAGCTCTCGTGCAATCCAAGAGCTTGTTTAGAGGGCCCGAGGAGGTCCAGGCAAACAAATCCCAGACTCAAATTCTTACCACCCTGGGGCTGACCTCTTGGGACCCCAAAGCTGCTCTTTTCTTGAAAAGCAAACCAGAACGGCGAGGTGCGGAGCAGAGCGGTGGCAAAGAGCACTCTGCTCGAGCCAGAGATGAAAATGCTCCCCTCTCCTTTGAACGTGAGGGAAAACTGTCCGTTTTCTTGAATACGTGTAAAACATTATAATTTGGATTTTTTTTTTTTGGGGTCTTGGAAATATCAAAGCCAAACTAGTTTAAATTTGCAATAACGGTCAATTGTCAAGACCATTTTAAAATGGAATTAAGTTGGGGGCTTTGTGAGAGAAACTGTTTTTAACACAGAAAATAAATGAACAGCAACTGCCAGCCAACCTCCAAATAAAATCCAGTGGCGAAGATAATTTCCAGAGCTGGCTGAAGTTCTTCAAGGAGTGTTTTTCCTGAAAAAATTCCACATAACTCCCGATTTTTCTCATTAATTTGTTGGGGTTTTTTTAAGAAAATACTTGTCTTGTGTGTCACGCTTCAGGCTGCGACCTAGTTCAGAAACGCCAAACCCACTTCATTTGGATGAACAGGCACTTCAGTGTTGGATGGGCTCTCCAGCTGCGCTTGAAAATATTTCTATTTAAAAATTAAATGTATTTAGCTTTCTTTGTCTCTCAACTAGCAAAAATTAAGGGCGTGGTCCTCCTTAAGCAAACAGAACCCACTTCCCATCAGCCTCAAGGAGGCGACCATTTCGCAGGTCCTGCTAGTCATCACCTAATTTTTTTAAGCACCAAGAGTTAGCAGTGAAATTGCAGGTAGTTTGTAGGCTAATCTTCCAAATAAAAGACTAAATCCAGTACTCCCGGGGGCTCTTGGCTGTTCCAGTTATGGTAAGATTTAATTAACGCTCCAATTAATTAGCCCAGGAAAATCTTTGCTCTTCTCGTACTCGCTTTGAGCCCTTCGTTTTCACAGCATCTCTTGCAGATTACACAAAACCCCGGCGCGTTCTCGGCCTCGTGTCGCGAGCGGCCTTTGCCGCCTCCTGCTCAACCCCGCTCTCTCTCTGTGCGCTCTCCAGGTGGCTCTTTCAGCGAGGAAACGGAGCAGAAGTTTGATCACTTCAGCGGACTCACAAATAACAAGGTGTCCACCCGATAGAACAGCATCGCCTCCCACCCCACTATTTAAAGAAGCGAGGTTTCCTGCTTCCGTGATTTCCCTAACCACTGCACAAAAAAGAAAATCAAGCAAACAATCAAACTCTAAATTAGCAAGGTAAATTACTTTCTAAAGATGCCTTCCTTCCCAGTTTAGGTGCTCAGACCACCGTGTGTCTCCTGTAACTCCAGTCCCTACTACTGAGGTAGTTAGGAGCGGGCTTTTAAGCTCTGCTTGGCTCCGTATCTTCACCATCCCAACCTTCTCCACAAAGATTTCTCCCTCCACTTTGCAGCGCCGTCTTTGCTCACAGACGTAGGTCCGGGCTGCAGCAAGCACAATTTGCCTTTGGTTGGGTACCGACAACCTAAATATGTCTTTACCATTCATTTTCTTCAAGGCATTAATTTCGGTATCTTTAAGCTCTTTGACTCAAGCTTGAACGCACCACTGATGCAAACGCCTCCATTTGTGACGCTGCTTCTTGAACACAGCTAATCCTCGGTACTGCCATGTCATTACTCCATTTTAGCAAAGAAATACAGGAAAGGAAAAAAAAAAAATAAAAAATTGGAGCAGCTTTTTCTGAGCAGAACAGTATAAAGCATAATTTAATACTGCAGTGAAACTCTTGTATTCAACAATCAACTCCCAACACAATCTCGTAAGCGGAGCGGCTAATGCAGAACTGTTTTCTACAAGTGCATCAGGGCTCCGGGAAGCTACGCCTCCCTTGTGACATCCCGAAGACTTTGCAGATCTCCTGATGATGAGTCCACTGGACTGTGAATTTCCATTCCGCAGTAAGCTATTCACCCAATAGATTCTACGTACATCTAAATGTTACCTTCTAAGCTGGATATTCACTCTGTCTCGTCTTTAAAGGATGAATTTAGTTAAGGCATTGTATCATCACTGTACCTTACAGAGGTGACTTCATGGCTTTCATCATCAGGGATCCGGGCCTGTGCTGTCATAGACCCACCTGCGTAAGTTGTCTTTAAAAGGATTTTTAACACTTGGTAAATTCACAATGGTGCTAAGTGTGTTCCTCTGTTTGTTTGAGGACACGCATTGCTACAGATTTTCAGACACAGCTACTTGAATAAAAGTGTTTTACCCAGAAAAATGTTTTATATGCCATTTGTGTGTTTCTACTCCATGAAAGTTTAGGGCCTCGTTCTCAATTCCTGGTACTGAAGTTTCTTCTCCCTCTGTGTTTATACGGAAGACTTCTACAAGCAGCTAAAGTTAACTGAATACTTAGAGCTGACCGTCTCAATCCACGGGGGGATTGAAACTGGCTGCATCTAACTTGTGCTCTCCATAACCTACCTCACAGGGATGTTGTGAGGCTTAAAGAATACAGAAGTCTCTTGCTAATGCCTGTCAGAGTATTTCTGTCATTTATCCAGTGGCCCAGATGGTGGCATCTAGCAAAGGTTTTTAGCCTACTGTAAGTTGGAAAACTCCATTTTGTTCTCAAGATGCCGGGCTGTGCAGCAAAAGCAGAGTCTGAGATGTGTTGGATGCTCTATCGCTGCTGCCACGACGAGGCGTCTTGCAGCATCTCTCACCACCAGGCTCTGGGCAAATCGGAACTGGCAAGTTCTGGTTTTCTTTTCCTCATCTGTGTATGACAGCTTTCCTTGCTAACAGTGCAACAAAGCAAGTCAGGCTCTTTCAACGCTATATAAATAAGGAAAACCCCTGAAACTCACTTGCATTCAATGCTTGTCAGTTTTGTGGGATATTTTAACAACAACATTACAACAAAGTAAACATTAAACAGATTTTTGGACTCCTGCAGATGCTCTGCTCTTGCTTACAGCTGAATTTTGGCCAACAAGATACAATTCCCTTACTCTCATGCTTTTTTTTTTTTTTTAAGTTACAGAGCAGCTTTTCTGTAAGCAGCCTTACTTTCTGCAAGGGCCCCAGTGAGTAACAGACACTTTGAAACAGAGTAGGGCAAGATGCTCTCCGTAACGAAGAGCTAACAGCAACCCTCGCAGGGTTTGGCTCTTGAGCTCAACATCTCATTCATAGTAAACTTTTTCCCTTTCCCAACTTCAGAAAGAAAAGACGGTGCTAATTCATAAGAGAACATCCCTGTGGCAACTCGCTGTTCTGCATGCGATTTAATATCAGAGCCATGCTCATCTCTACATCTTTTTTTTTTTTTTTTTTTTAGCTGAGACGGTTTATTCCTCCTGGTCCAAGCTTTCTGGCAGGAGCACTTCGGTGCCTGAGACGCCCTGCTGCTTGTGCTTCAAACCCAAAGCCCGGGTCACCAGCCTCTTCGCCACTGCAGTGTCAGTCTGGGGTCTTTCTTTTGCAAGGTGAAGGAGCTCTAGGTAAAAAACGGGTGAAAATCATGAAGTTAGTGCCTGTTCAGCAACTGTCTTGTGGCTAAACCATAGGACTGGCAGACAGGAGGGCTGATTTCGGTTTTCTTAGGTCCTTTATAGAATTAGCCCAGGAGCATGAGCAAATTGTTCTATCTCTATCCAGTAAATTGCCTTTTCTTTCAGAAGGATGTGCCTCCAGCTTTGTCCTTCAGATTTTTCAATGACAGTTCCAAAGCTATTTGGCTACGATTAAGCTCTTCTGCAGCGGTAGAGAGAATTGTTCCCCATTTGCTTTCAGGAACAGCTTCCTAACCATTCCTGGCAAAATTCAGCAAGTCACATCTCTGAGAACAAAATGAAGGCGCACAGTCCAACCCATTTATCCATGCAGAGGGAAGTTTGATCTCAATTTAGACTAATCAAAATCAGCAGCCTAAATCCTTAGAAAGCAGCAAGGAAAAAAAATCTGCATTTTTTTAAAAAATAGCTAAATCTATCAGATGCTTTGGGAAAGCCCTTTGGCCAGTAACCTCCATTTTCTCATAGACAGCTGGCTTGCTACAGTTTCATCTTACAAGAAATGAATACAGCAAAACTTTACCAAGTCCACAGTAGTCCGGATTTGGCAATTACCTGATCATTTATCAGCAACTGTCTGCAAATTTATTATCCAGTTAGCAAGGGGGGCTTTGCTTGCTTTTTTCAGAAGTTTTATTAATAAAGGCAGCCCATCAGCAGCTTAAAGAAAAAGGGGCAGACTCAAAGCATTTGCAGCTTGGAAAATAAAAGTGCCATTCTTTCTTGACAAAGCTCAAAAAAAGAGGGAAAAAAAAAAAAAAAGAGACACTGTCAGCTAATTAAGATCCAAATTTTGTATCTGGAAAAAAAAAATTGCTACTTAAACTGAATACAAACAGCGTTTCTATATAACGTTCCCCCGAAGGAGTTTATAGCCTGATTCAGAAGCGTGCCGACAGGCTACAGCAAGAAGAATCGGGAGGCGTGAAGGAAAACAGATGACGGGGAGAGTGCAGAAGGAAATCCCGTTCTTTGACATTTCATTTACATCCAAACTCAGGAATTTCTAACTGTGACAGTGTCCCTTTAAAGCATTAATACTGAAATTTGTTTCACCTGCAATGTACTGTAGCAATAACAGCATAGTTGTACCTTCAGCAAAGTCTCTACTGCTACAAGATTCATGGCATTTCTTTACTGTGGCAAGTATAACTGATTACACTATGATTTTAAAAGGCAATCGAATAAATAAAACAATGTTAATGGCTAAGCTTAACGATTTTTTTCCTTCACCTGATACCAAATAAAATGATACCAACCACAAACTGTAACTGCTATGGGTTTTGTCTCATCTGTTATCTTGGACCACGCAGAGTCATAGGGCAGAGAAACTTCTGGGCAGGCTTACGGCGTTCGCCATGCTGCGTCCTCCTGCAGCCACCGCTACACATACCCCCGCCTGCAAAAAAAAAAACGGTACAACCCTTCGCTTAAAACTTTACACGAGCGGAGCAAATAGCGCAAGGAAGCCTAAGGCTGAATTTCAGCCAACAGCTGGAGAGTAAACAAAAAGTAACAGGAGCTGATGCTTTTTTATTCAGTCCTCGTATAGACGGGAGAAAGAGTGACTGAAAACTTAAGCATAGGTAACAGCTGTAGTTCTCTTTCCTGGAGGTAATATATCATTTAGTCTTGATCTGCAGATTTGTTTTTGTCATCGCGTTCACCTGTGCCAACCACACATGCCTGCTGCAAACACCCGCATTACTGGTGCAGTAAGTTTTAACGTAACTATGATACAGGTTGGCTGAAAATACTGTAAAAAAACACATCTACAGGCTTTTACTGAAGACCCTACGCAACAGCTCACTGTCCTGCAATGCTGATAAAGCTAAAAAACCACAAAACAAAAAAGAAATACTGGTCCTTAATATATATTTCCCCATTTAACTTGTCATCATGACCACTCAAGATGTAGAAGACTGGTTAACCAAGAAATAATACTAATAATAATCTAAAAAAGAAAAAAAAATTGTCTTACTTGGCCGTTGAAGTGCCTTGATCTTAGACTGCTTTGTTGCATGGATCAATGGTCGGATCTTTAAAGAAGGATAACGTCGCCCCAGGGCTTGAGATGCTTCAAAGAACAAAGATTGCTGAAATTAGCAGGCTGAATGTTGGTGGCTTTCATAATAAAAATCGGTGCATGGTATAATAACACGGAATAATTTGAGCTTCAGCAGCTGATGCGTTATCGCAAGACTTGTACTAACACAGCTCAACTGATTTGGGTCACCTCAGGCTTACATCACACGTTCCTCGCGCAGGAAGAGCCCCAAGAAAAATATAAACACATTTTAAAAGACAATTCTGTCGTTATTAGACTAAATCCTGAGAAAAAAGGATAAACTTTTGGGCTCCATAGGCTGCTGGATGGAAACTTCTCTTGGGATGGCTCTGACCTGGGCTTGGGAGGGTTTGGCAGGAGGCTTGGTGTCTGACCCACGTGCCATCGCACTCATAAGGTCCCCAGCAGGTTATTGTACGCTTGCAGGAATTTTGTCGTGTTACAAGAGAAAAAAACTGAAGCGGCAAAACAGATTCATTTCTAGAAAGGCAGCATGAGTCGCTCCATATACAAAAGGTGCCCTGGTTATTACCCAAGCCAATTAAAAACCTGCTGTTCTTGCAAAGCGGAGCTTCCACCCAACACGCAGTAATTCCAGCTTCTCAAGTCTTAAAAGCCTTGCAAGTTTGAAGCGCACAGGAGGACAGCCGTGAGGAACCACAGCTACCTTTGGCAACAGCTCGAGCCTCGGCAGACGCGCGTTGCGAACCGCCGCGCCCATCCAGGGTCGCCGCGAGAGCGGAGAAACCCCAGCAGCTCCGCGGGTCCCTCAGTCCCAGCCACGAATGGCATCACGCTACCTGTAGACGGGCTGGAGAAGATTCCCAGGGCGTGCGTATCATCGACCCACTGGATTTTGAAACCACTCTCGCTAAAATGAAAAGGCAATAGAATAATAGTCATTAATAAGAAAGAAAAAAACCCCACCACACAATAAAACCCAATAGCCACCTTGGGTTAGCAAGAGTATTTAGTATTTTCAGGTGGCCAGCTGGTGCTTTTCAAAGCATTACACCTATTTTACACGAGGGGAAAGAGAAGGAAAGGAAGGAACAGAAGAACATTAGATGTGCCCCTTTCAAGGCCACAATGTGCGACCACCCCATCAGCTGCCCGCAAAAACCCTCCTTTTCCTCTGAAGAAACCCTTGGCCAAAAGCAACCTCAATTTCAGGGACTGCCTTGTAACACAAAAATATTGTTTGTCGTTTATCTAGTGCTTTACGAACGCCACCCAATTGCTCAGACATCTACAATAAAAAGCAAGCGCTTTATAAAACTGGTTTACAAAGCTTAGGGTGAAGAGACTGATGTGAAAAAATCTAATAACGTGTCGGTGGAAAATGTGAGTTAGGGAGTTCAAAGCTTTTCCTGCAGCGCAGGAAATACAAATACAAGCGACTGCTCAGATTAGATCCGTCAATTTTCAGCTCAGTTTCACTCTCACAGCAAGTGGAAAAAAATATATTAGAGGAAACACACACAATAGACAGTCGCTTATTAAAAATGTAAATCATGGGCTTTTTTAATTTAAGGGCTCCCTAGAGGTGAAGTATTCACATCTGATCCGCCAGGTATATCAAGAGAGGAGGAGGATGGTGGGAGGAAAACAGGGAGAGGTGCCTGCAGCCACGGTGCCTGGGCGCGCTGGCAGCGGTGACACAGTAACTCGGAGCTGCACCGAGCCCCGTTTATCACTAACGCAGGGCCGAACTTTGTCCTGGCCCTGCCAGGATCCAACGTCACTCCCTTAGGCGTGAGGCTCTGTTCCCCACGTTTACATAATAAATCTCTCCAACAGCAGGATTGAGCCCTTTTTCTTGCAAAGACTTCTGTAGGCACGTAATTTCATTCAAGCACCGGGACGCAATAACAAAGCAGCTCCTAGAAAGCACCTAAAGACTCTCACTGAAGCAGTAGGAATAAGCCTGCACGTAGGTAACCGTGTGTACGACGGAGCCCTGAAGAACCGGTCGTGTTTTACATCATGCATAAACTGCAGGAAAGTGTCCTTTAAGGCACGGAAAGAGCGTAAGGCATAAGGGCAGGAAGGCAAAACTAAAATTCAAAATTCATCAGATTCTGTTGTGCATTCAAGTCTGAATATTGCTCCCGCCGTGCCCCCGACGTGCTCCAGCTCTCAGAGAGGTACTCACTGGAAATCCGAGAACACTTCTAACAGGTCCTCCGTTTTCAGCGACGGGGAGAAGTCATGGATTTCAGTTACGTGGCCAAAATCCCCCTCGTTGAGCTGTGCATCTCCATAGCTGGAATAATCAAAGCTGATCTTCTCAATGCTGATGTCCTTCACGGTTAAATAACCCACAATCTGAGAACGTGAAAAAAAATATAATAATTAAAAAAAAAATCAGAAAGGTTTCACTTCAAAGAGCGATCCTCCAGGGCCCCACCCCGGTTCCCTGCACACCACTTCTGCAGCCACACTCCTGCCGACAGGTTCGGCAGCCGCCCGGGGCAGCCCCGGCACAGGGACTCTCCTCCCACAGCCTAATGCCTTCCCCTCCGGCCAACTCCTCTGCCGCCCTCTTTTCCCCAAAGTCGCTCCCCGTGGCAATACCCACGGCAAAACGCTACCTCTGCAAAGAGCTCTGCGGTGCAGTCGTCCTCAAGGCCGCTCTGCCCGCGGACGGCCGCGCTCTCTTCTTTCTCGCCTGCAGACAAATGCAGCTCACGCCACAGCGCATCGGCCAAGCCCGAACGCTCCTTGTCCTCCTCTTCTGCCACGGGCACCTTCCCGCCGCGGTTCTGCACAGCAGCATCCGCCCAGTGCTCGTGCTGGTCCGCAGGAGCTGACGGGGCGGCACCGTGGACCAGCTCCGGAGTGGCCAGAGGCTCATTTTGGGCTTCTGGGGGGTTCTGGTTAGGCTCCACCTGGGCAATGCTGGGGCACTCCTGACCTTGACTTTCCAGTTCGGAGAACCTCTTGCCTCCATCCACCGCGCTGGCATTCACGAAGTCCTTGCCCTGTTCTTCAGGTGCTGACACGTTTCCGCTGCTCTCCAGGCTCTCGGCAGCGGCGCAGCTCTTATCTTGGTTTTCCAGCAGCAGGGACGTTGCGCCCGACTCTGCTCCAGCCAGGTCTGCACAGCAGTTACTGCTGTGACTTTCTGATAGAGAGGAGTTTTTGCCGCACTCCACTACACCGGCATCCCGGTTGTTTTGGTCTTCAGCTTGCAGCTGGCACAGGATTTTGCTACCTTCTGGTATAATAACATTGTCGCAGCTCTGATCTTGCTCTTCGGCTTCAATTGGGTTTTTATTGTGTGCAGAAGAAAGGGAATCTGAACAGTCTTTATCCTGACTTTCCTGCCCAGAGAAATCATTACTGTTCTCCAACGACGGGACATCCGTACAGCAAGGAGGACACGCATCATTACTTGTTCCTGAAACACACTCTTCGCCAGGCTCCTGTTCCTTGCCAAGGGCCAAGGAGACACCACCTGGGCTGCCTTCAGACTTACCCAGCTCCTCCTGGGCGTCCCCAACTGAAGCTTTAGGGCAGATCTCTTCTTCTTGTGCCATATCCCCACCTGACTCGGTGCCTGCCGCCACCGGGCTCTCCTGCTCCCCCCATTCTGCCTTCTTGCGCATCGCCTTGGGGACGTACAGGGCTTTATCTGGCTTCTTCCTGGGCGGCCTTTTTATCCTGCCAGACCCCACGCAGGCTCGAGAGTTGTCACTGTGCACCTCCCCGCCATGCCGCAGCCTGCCGCCTCGGCCCCCCCGGCCCCACGGCTGCGGAGGTCGCGGCGGTCTCGGTGGGTTGCTGCTGGGTTTTTGGTCGCTCGTCTCACTGGGCAGCCTAGGACCAAGAGAACGGCAGGCCGTGAGCAGGGGAACCCAAGTAACGTGACATTTGCAAAAGAGAGAGAGGAGGAAAAGCATCAGATCCCCCTAAAAGTCAGCAGGTAGGAAAAAAAAAGAGCCTCTGCTTCCTTAATGACTGGGATACGCTGTTGGTAATAGACACCCTCCACTCTGCAGAGAAGCACCATGCAAACTTTGTGCTTGTAAGCTTGAACGAAAACCCCACAGCCATGGAAAGAGACCTACCATCTACCACACCGTACCTTATGGCCGAGTGACAGATGACCGTCCTCCTCCTCCATCCTTCTCCCACAGAAAAGCTGCTCAACAAATCCACGTTGTCCACGGTCCGATGGATCAGGTACCTGAGGCGACTGGACAGAGGGGGGAACAGGAGCACTCTGGAAAGAGAGAGGGGTTGGGGGCATCAGCAACTTGCAGGAAGGAAAAGGACAGGAACGTAGCAAGAATTTATTAACCTCTCTTCCCGAAGTCTTTCCCAGTGTAGGGTTTAAATCCAAGCCCAAAAGCCAAGCAGGAATTTCTGGTGTTAAAGAGCCAAAATCCCCTCTCCATCCCAGAGTCTAGACAATCTGTCTAGCGCTGGCTTTGCAGGTAGCGCCGGGAGCGTGGGGCAGCTGGGGCTGCCTGGTCCCCGGGCCTTTGGCTGGGATGCTCGTTTCTGCCTGTATCCGTGCTGGGAACGGCTGGAAAGCAGCAGCAGAAGGCTGCTGCCGGTCCCCTTCCTCCCAGTCTGAGTGCACTCCAGAAACCAGCAGTTAAAAGAATACGAACGGATGAATAAACACCACGTTTGATTTCATTGCATTTAGATGCATTTTTACAATTCCGGTTTCATACAATTGCCTGGGTACTTTCTCTGCCAAACATTTTTTAAAAAAGCAACGAAACAAATATTTAAGGTTGTTAAAAGCTGGCAGGAAGCTGAACTAGGCAATCCCACCCCAGCTCCTGTCCGACACCCTTTTTGGCCATCTCAAGGGCTTCAGAGGTCACTGGATCAGGGACTAGGCCCACTTAAATCCAGCCTGGCCAAAGCAAAACGATGCAGCGATCCAAGGCGATGGAGTTTGCGGCCGTGGAGGAGGATCCGGCGCGCAGGAAGCCCTCAGCAGAGAAGGGAAATGGAACAGTTTGATTATGAAACTGTTTACTGTAGCTCATCCGGCTGCCTAGCGGGCTAGGCCAGACTGGGGCTGGTGCAAAAAGCCACCAGCATCCAAAACAACTCTGCCTGAAGTAGTATGAATGGAGAAGCGCACACGGCAGAAACCCCACGCCGATCCTTGGCCTGTGGGGATGCCCCAGGAGCTCCGCAGCCAGCCAGCCCCTCGCAGCCAGGCTCCAAACGCTGCTGCTCCAACCCAGACGGCGTTTGCAGCCCAGAGAAGCGATGCAAAACAGAGACAAGAGTCACAACGTGCCATCGCCCAGGGACTGCAGGCACCAGCCGGGGCTGCGTGCTGCCGGGGCAGGGCACCTACCTGTGGTGCTGCCCCTGCAGCATGAAGTGCTCCAGCTCCTCCGCGATCCTGCCCACGAACTCATCCTCGTTGGGCGAGAGGAAAACGCCATCCATGCAGCGCAGCGCCAGGGTGGCAGCGGACAGGAGGCCTGCAGAGGGACGGGGCCACATGGAGAACCGGCTGTGGGCTCCCCTGCCCCCCTGGGTGCTTAGCACCCCCGCACACCTGACCCACCCTCTGCACAGCTCCCTGCACCCGGCTGCAGCCCTGAGCTCTGCACCCTCAGCACCGTGTGCCGCTGCTCTGTGCGCTCTGCTGCACCCCACCCCTCCCCCTGCGCACCCCCAGCACCCTGTGTGGCTCTGTGCACCCCCCAAAACCCCTGTGCACCCTCTACTGCCCTGTGCACCCCCACCCCCACGTGCAG